CAGACTGAGCAATTTTTCTCCAATGCTTGGATGAATTTAGGAGAAAAGAAAAAAAAAATTTGAAATTGCACATCATCTCAAATGCATGGAAATTTTTTTAAAACTTAGCAACTCCATTTTAATTCAATGCATGGAAAAATTTAAACTTTGCACTTCATCTCAAATGCATGGATGAAATTTGGGAAAATTTTGAGACCTTGCAACTACTCTTTACTGCATGAATGAATTTAAGAAACTTTTCAAACTTTCGCAACATCACACAAATGCATGGATGATTTTGAGGAGCCATGATCCAACAATGCATTGAAGATGAGAGGCTATGCATGTGAGTGCCATGTCGAAAGTCCGAGAAAATTGTCTGATAAGCTGGAAACTTGCGGGAATGAAAACAGGAGTTGAGAAGGTCTAATAAGCCAGTCTAAAATTGTGAAACACAATTGAAGAGCATTCCAGAAAAATCAAATTTTTGGCTTTTCGAAACCATTTCCCGGAAAATTTCAAGGCTCAGGCAATTGAAAGAAGGGAAGCTTGGAAATTGAAAGAATTGTTTCCTATGAGTGCTAAATTTAACGTCGATAACTAGACGCACCGAGATCAGGTTAGTCCTCATCACCCTATACCATGTCTCTCAAGAGATTCAAGCTTCCCGAAGTAAGAAAGTTCTTTTGGAAGCGGAAGGAAAAGAGCTTGAAGACAAAAGTTGGAAAGAGGTAATGGAAAGACCTCAATCTACTCTTCATCCTCAATGAAGAACTTTGGACTATGGGGCTGATTTGGATTATAGGAAGATGGATTAGGTGAGGGTGCACCAAGCAACGACTTATGAAGGGTCATATTGAGCACGGGAATGCTCAACAAGTTATCCTTCAGAATTTCAACATCCTCCTCACACTTATCCGGCGGTTCGGGCTCAATAGCTTGAGATAACTCAAGTGAGGGAATGGGATGAGATGCAAGCTCCCAAGAAAGAGATACATTTGATGTTGACCAAGGAAGAGAATGAATAGGTGGAGGAATATCAAACAAAGAATTTACCTCCAAAATAGAATTGTCAATATCAAAATCCTCATAATTGAAATGAGCTAAGCAAGCTTTTAGAGGATCCTCCATTAAAGGAGGTGCATCAAGCAAAGGATTATGTAGGGGCTGTTTTGGAGTAGGGTAGACAATCTCTACATCATTATTTTTCCCATTTTGAGCCACAATTGCTTCATTTTGATGTGGGGCAACAATTTGATCTTCAACCACCATTTCATCATTTTCACATGTAATAACCACTTGATCATTCTCATGATGAAAGTTACTAAGAGTAATCTCATCATTCATAGAATTTTCTTTTGGATTGGCCATAAATTCAAATGAAAATGTTTCCTCCTCTTCATGATTTTTAGCATTAATCCTTTGTTGAATTTGAGATATTTGGTCATCTATCATTGCACTAACTTGGGACTGGTGATATGGTACCACTTGATTGATAGACTCTACTGTGGATTGCATGCTAGCAAGGGAGGCCAATAGTTGATTGTTGGAGTCCATCATTTGCGTGTGCATAGACTCCATCATTTGTTTTTTAGCAACAATTAGCTCATCCAATGGAGACGGTGGAAAAGGAGAAGAGGGCGGGAAAGAATGATCATTGGGTTGAAAAGGTTGCATATGAGATTGTGGGGTTGAATTTCCTATGTCATGCCACAAGAAGTTTTGTTGGTCTCCCCAACCCGAGTTGTAACCATTGAAGTATGGATCACTACCCGGTTCAAAGAAATTTTCATTTGGTTGCTCTAGATAAAAATCCGAGAATTGTCTCGTTGGAAGACAATCTCTTGTATGATGTGAATTACTAGAGCAAAAAGCACAAAACGCATGTGGTGTGTAGAATTGAGTTGGGAGAAAATTATCCTCCATCTAGGAGTAATTCAACAACACACAAAGCAATCAATACAACACTTCATCACCATAACCTCCACATATTATATTCCCTTTCTCCTCAATTATCAAGATAAAAATTAAATTGGCCACGACAAGGACCGATGCTTGAACACAAAATTTAAACAGGATAAGAGCCTCAACAAGGGCTTCACAACTAAACTAAAACTAAATTTTAACACATGCACAATATTCACAACTTGAAACTAGAAGTCACGAGACTTACCTAGGGTCCTCTAGACTTACAATTTGCTAGCATTCCCCCGGCGAGCTTCGAGTCCCTAGAATCTTACAACACTTAAAACATTGAGATGGTCAAAACACACAAGAAATATTCACAAGACACAATATTCACAATCAAACTAAAATTAACCCTAGAACTTTGGTCGCTAAACCATTTGCAGTCCCCGGCAACGGCGCCAAAAATTGATCGGTTGGTCAATTAACATCAACCTTCGCAATAGCACGAATCATTGTAAAATAGGGCTATTGGTCGGGTAAGTCGAACCACTGGGACTGATCTAGTCTATGGCAACCTAAGAGTCTAGAATTGTTCTTAGAATGATAAGGGGTAATAAGGGTTTGTTTGATAGTCACTAAACTAGGAAATTAGGAGTGCATAAAACAATAAATTGCAAATTAAAGGAGTGAGATACAAGTAGAAAAGACTAGGGAGATGAATCCACACTGCACCCTAAGTACATGCTAGATTAAGGCTAAATTGGGGAAGTACAATGTATAAAATGGTCACGGAATATATAGCAACACTAGATTACCATATACCCTTAGAGAAGTTCATTAAATCATTAAACAAGAATAATCCCTCAAAAATTAATACATTTGAGCTACCTAAACTAAAGTGTAGCCTTCAACATACTCACTCAAGCAAGAACTATCAAGTTTGTAATCAAATGATAAAGCACATGAGGTAGGAAACTAGCATAACCCATCAAAGGAAGTTCCTAAGCAATGGACTATCCATTTTCTCTATCAACATGCCTTGAAAATTATTCATAATCCTATCTCCATTGTCACCATGAAGAAGCAAGCATTATGATTACTACAAGAAACCATCTAAGACAAGATAAATCACTTACAACAATCATTTATAAACATTAGAATTCATTACAAGAATTAATATGCTCTAGATTATGAAAAGACCAAAAATGATACATCATAATCCCCAAAATAGATCCTAATCTAGAACATAAGCAAAAGGGGAGGCTTCATCACCTCCCTAGATGAGGTTTAGTTACCCATGAGTGAGCCTAGATGAAGGAAGAAGCAAGGTTTTCCCCTCCATTTTCGAGCTTCCTCCTTGAAGCTTCAAGAACTCCTCCTCCTTGCTCTCTTCTCTCTCCTCTATCTTCCCAAAATGAAGCTTAATTATATGTGTGGCCTTGCTTCCCTTCTCTTGTATAGATAAGGCTCTAAAAACCCCCACCAACCAACATCTCCAACCAACCATTAAAGAGGGAAATTAGAATTGAGGAACCCAAGATGCAAGTGGCTGAAAATGGGCCATTCCCGAATGCAATTCTGCCCTAATTTCGAGCACTCAAAATAAGGGCTCGAGCACTCGAAATTGGAGCAGAATGCTCCATTCTTGCCTTGCTCTGCCCGGACCTACTTTGATGAAATTGCCATAACTTTGCGCTCCGAACTCTGAATGACAAACCGTTTGAATATTTGGAGAGCTAATTCAGATCTTTAAATCTTTTATGTTTTGGTGGAGATCCAATTCTCAAGGATGGTTGGTCGAAAATGAAGATCAAGGCAGAATTTCATTGCTGCCAGGCAGTTCTGCTCACCTCTGGTAACAAGGCCATAACTCTCTGCTCCGAGCTCCGAATGACAAACCGTTTGAATATTTGGAAAGCTGATTTAGACTTCTAAATCTTTCATGTTATGAGGGAAGTCCAGTTCCCAAGTTTTCAAGGTCAAAATGGCGACCAAAGTTCAGGATCCACTGCTGCCAGAAATTCAGCCTTGTGCCTTTTAATGGCCAAAACTCCACAAAGCCTTGATTTTGCTCCTTTTTTGGAAAATGGACCTAAAAATATATACATACACACAAATGAAGATAATCTACTTAATTAAACAAACAACGGACTTAACTAATGCAATTTAGGGCGCTTGAATATACAGTATTCGGCGCTTATCACACCATTAGAGGATAATACATTCATGGACCACAACCATGTGTCACACTCCTGAGCATACTTGAAAAACTTTATAAACCAGCCTTATACCAGCTGTATATTACATTCAGCAGAATACTATTGTTGAGGCTGTATTAGTCATAATTTAGGCTTACCACAGCAATTCAGTGCAATGCAGCTAGTCAGTCATACGAGTATTCGTAGAATACATCAGAGAAAGTACTAAAATACCTTGTGAGTACCTGTAGCAAGTTCCTTATACACTGAACTTCACTGAGATCATTCAATTTAGCTAAATCAAGTGTACAAGCTGTGATGAATTAATACATGCCAATGTAAAAAGTCTATCACTGCATTACAAATGACAATGCTGCCCTAGTATCATATGTTAAACCACAATGCAAATAGGTTATGCACTTGAGCTCACTAAACCAAAGCTTTTTGACATTAAACAGGCAAATAGGTCTTTAGAGAACCTTAGGACCAACAATCTCCCCCTTTTACCTTTAATGACAAAAACTTTGATATGAAATAAGGCCTCAATTATAGTGATTCAGATAACAAACAGAGAACAACCCAAAACTCATCGAATGATAAGAATAGCCTGACACTATCCTTATTTCAGTCCTTTTCTCCCCCTTTTTGACATTGAAGGTCAAAAGGGAGCAGGATCAACAATACTAAGTTCAAAGAGGTGGGGGAACAACCCTGAGAAGATCTCTAAGGGTTGAAAATCTGTGAGGAAGAAGAGGTTTAGTCATGATGTCTGCAATTTGATCCTCAGTTGGGAGATAAGTAATATCAAGAAGCCCTTTTTGAACTTTATCTCTGAGAAAATGATACCTGATATCTATATGCTTGCTCTTCTAATACAATATGGGATTTTTACTGATGGCAATAGCATTCTGATTGTCATAAAAAAAGCTTGGGAGGTATGGAGAAGTGGAGTCCAAGATCTGTCAGGGTAGACTGCATCCAAAGTAATTGAGAACTAGCTTGAGAAGTAGCTATGTACTCAGCTTTTGAAGTAGATAGAAAAACTGTTTCTTGTTTTTTACTGACCCAGGAGACTACATTAGAACCAAGAATATAACAGCAACCAGAAGTACTCTTTCTGTCAGGTAAGGATCCACCCCAATCAGCATCTGAAAAGGCAGCTATAGACATTGTTGGTGAAAAAATGTAACGTAGACCATAAGAGATTGTGCCCTTAACATATCTGAGAATGCGTTTGGTAACTTGGAGATGAGACATTTTTGGATTACTTTGGAATCTAGCTACCAATCCCACTGAGTACATTATATCAGGTCTTGAAGCTGTGAGATATAGTAGACTGCCAATGATAGACCTGTAAAGTGTGGATGGAACTGCTTTTGAAGTACAATCAAGTGACAGTTTGGTATTGGGACACAATGGTGTTGAAACAGACTTGCTATCACTCATGTTGAACTTCTTAAGTAATTATGAGGCATACTTTTTGTTGTGAAATAAAGATCCCTTTGGATGTTTGAGCAATTTAAAGTCCTAAGAAATACCTGAGAGTACCCAAGAGTGTCAATTCAAACCTTGTCTTCATAAGATTAGCAAACTCTAATGCTAAAGAAGTGTTGGAGCCACAAAACATGATGTCATCTATATAGATTTGAAGAATTAGAAACTGGTTTTGATGAATTCTGACATACAAGGTGTTGTTAACTTTGCCTCTATGAAAGCCTTGTTCAATTAAGAACTGATGTAGTTTTTCATAGCAAGCCCTGGGAGCTTATTTGAGACCATACAAAGCTTTGCATAGTTTGAATACATGAGAGGGATATTCAAAATCTTCAAAACCTTCAGGCTGCTCTAAATAAACTTCCTCACTTAGATCTCCATTTAGAAAAGTAGATTTGATATCCATTTGGTACACTTTGACTTGTTTGTGACATGCAAAGGATAGCAGCATTCTTATGGACTCCATTTTAGCCACAGGAGCAAAGGTTTCATCATAATCAATACTAGCTTGCTGTGAATAGCCTTTACACACCAACCTTGCTTTATTTCTGATAACATATCCTTTTTCATTCATCTTGTTTCTGTAAATCCATTTAGAGCCAATTACATTCTTATCTGCAGGTTTAGGTACAAGTGTCCAAGTATCATTTTTGTTAATTTAATCAAGTTCTTCTTGCATAGCTACAACCTAATCCTCAATCTTCTGAGCTTCAAAGTAGGATTTAGGTTCAATAAATGATAACATTGCAAAGTGACTGTATTCCGTGCTATCCTCAGCTTCCAACTCAGTTAACTTCTTCTTATTCCTTGTTTAAACTCCAGCTTGAGATGAACCAATAATGTTTTTAGCTTGAACGTACTTTTGCAGTACTGGGTAAGTAGTTTCTTTTGAATTCTCAAGTTCAGTCACTGAGGAACTTGTTTCATTTGAACCAATTGTATTATTTCTGTCTTCAGTTAGAGTTACTTGAGGATTTTCATCAAATTTCACATGGATTGACTCAACCACCTTCGAAGACCTAAGGTTGTAACATCTATAAGCCTTGCTTTTTGTAGAATACCCCAGAAATATGCCTTCATTAGATTTTGAATCAAACTTCCCCAAACTATCATTGTGATTAAGTATATAACACTTGCTGCCAAATATTCTGAAATAGTGAACTATTGTAGGTTTTCCATACCATAATTCAAAAGGTGTCTTGGTTGAATTTGGTTTAAGGAGAACCCTATTGATGATATACACAGCAGTACTTACAGCTTCAGCCCAAAACCCTTTTGCCAAACCTTTTTCAGGCAATATTGTTCTCCCCATTTCTTGAACTGTTCTGTTCTTTCTCTCCACAACTCCATTTTGTTGAGGTGTAGCTACAGCTGAGAATTCCTTTTCAATTTCCTTGTCATCACAGTAGTGTTTAAATTCTTTCATGGTGAACTCTGAACCAAAATCAGACCTGAGTTTCCTCATAGTACAGCTTCTTTCATTTTCAACAAGATTGACAAACTTAATAAAGTGTGTAATAGCCTCAGACTTTTCTTTCAGAAAGTAAACCCACACCATTCTGCTAAAATCATCAATGAGTAGAATAAAATACTTACTACCACCAACACTTGTGGTTCTGGTAGGGCCACAAAGATCTATATGTTCAGTTCAAGTGCCTTAGAGGTGTTAATTTCCTTAGAATGAAATGAAACTTTAGTCTGCTTTCCTTGTTGACATGTTTTACAAAGGTGATCATCCTTAAAACAGATGTCAGGCAGTCCTTTAACAGCTTTCAGCTTCAAAATCTTGGACATCTTTCTTGACTGAAGATGACCTAACTTCTTATGCCACAATTTAGCTTCATCACAGGTTGTTAAATTACATTGAGTGACCTGACTTTCTTCATTGACTATATAAACATTTCTTGAAGATCTACTAGCTGAGAACAGAACTTGTTTTGATTCCAGATCAATCACATTGCATATTTCTTTATTGAAACAGACTTCCTTCCCACTATCACACAATTGACTGACACTTTGGAGATTATGTTTGAGCCCTTCAACCAATAGAACTTCTTGAATCTCCGGCAATACTTCAGACTTACTCACAGTACCAATTCCAACAATCTTAGCTCTTTGATTATCTCCAAAGATAACATTTCCACCATCAAACTGCTTTGAAGAGTTAAATTTGGTACCATCACCTGTCATGTGTCTTGAGCAGCCACTGTCAACATACCATTTGTCCTGAGTATTACAGGCTTTAAAAGCTGTATACATAAGAAGACTTACAGAGTTCAACTTCTTAGGGATCTACATCATCTTAGACTTCACCACTGACCCTTTGTCTTTGACTTTCACACCTTGAGTTAAGTCTGACTTCTTCACATACATCTTAGTGACCTTGAAGTTCCTTATAACTAATGTAACAAAGTCTCTCTGATTAAAACTTAATGGATTTCGGATGTTATCATGAATATCAAACCTTGATCTCAGAGGTTTTACAATGGGATATCTTGCATACACTTCACCAGTGGTTGCCTTCACAAATATTGAATATTTTTTTTTAATCTTTGCAGCTAAATCACATACATATCCAATTTTAGTCTTCCCAATTTGCTCAGTGGATTGTTTCCAAATTTCAGCCATCTTCAGGGACCTCTCCTCAAGTATAGTAGACAGTTCTTCCTTGCACCTTTTGGTGGACCACTGAGAGTTTCCTTAAGCCTTAAGTAAGCTTACGAAAATAAGGGAAATTGAGCACATGGTTGACAGTTTGAGTTTTAAGTGTTTGGTGAGAATTTGTCTAGACTTTAACAGTTCTAAATTCAGCTTTCTGATTTGAGACTTCTGTTAATTGTACTTTACAGCAAGTCTTTCACATTCTTCCAGAATTTCCTCAATCTCTGTGTCAGTGTCTTCTTTAGCTTCTACTGAATCTTTTGGAGGTTCAAAGATGGCCATGAGTAAACATTCATCTTCTTGAGCTTCTTTAGGTTTCTCTTCTTCTTCAATGGCTGTTTCCCAATCTAAAAGTAAGGCTTTTTTTCCAAACCTTCCTTTGTTGTTAGGTCCTTCAAACTTTCTTTGAGTTTTCCCCTTAGAGTTAGGACACTTAGACACAATATGACCAAGCTTACCACACCCATAGCATGTTAGGTTTTACTGAGATTTCTTTTTAAACCTGAATTTTCTGAATTTCTTAGCAAGGTAAGCCACTTCATCCTCTTCAAGATCATCTTCAGACTTAGACTCATCTTCCTCAGTAGTTTCCTTAGCTTTGAGTGCAGTTTCTCTTCTATGCAAAGTAGGAGGACCAACTCTCATCTCATAAGCTGTGAGAGATGCTTGAAGTTTATCAATCTTCATGTTAGATAAATCTTTGTCTTCTAGAATAGTAACCTTAGCATTGAATCTATAAATGAGAGATCTAAGAATTTTCTTGCACACATTAGAATCTTTAATGCCTTCACCAAGAGCTCTCATATTGTTTACAAGATCATTGATTCTGAACATGTATTCTACAATGGTCTCTCTTTCCTCCATTTTACAAACTTCATATTAAACCTTGAAAAGCTGAATTTTGTTTTCCTTTATAACATTGTTTCCCTCATGAGGTGCCTGAAGTGAATCCCACATTTCCTTGGCCATCTTACAATTTTTCACTCTGGTAAATTCTTGCTGCTTCAAGGCACAGAAAAGAACATGTTTGGCCTTCCCATCATTAGCTACAACTACTTTGTTTTTAACAGATAGATTTTTAGGATTGAGAATCACAACACCATGTACAGTAGTATGCCAAACATCATAGGACTGAGACATCAAAAAGGCTTCCATTCTAGTTTTCCAAGAATCATAGTTTGAGCTTTCAAAACCAAAAGCTTTGTTAATAACTTGACCTTCATCCATGGCTAGGAGCAACTGTAGGCTTGTTAGAACCTTTCAATGCAGACCCAAGCTCTAATACCAATTGATGAACCAAGAGGGGAGGTGAATTGGTTAATTTCTTTTCAACAGAATCAATAAGATATAGTACCAAGCATACAATAAGTACTTAAATAGAATTTACAAGGAAACCCTTTCAACTAGGGAAAACCTTGGTTCTTGGCCTCAACCAATGAAGTCCACTACTAGCTATATGTACCTTGTTACACACTCAGCTATCTCACTCTCTGCACATACCCAAGCACAAGAATGGACACTAGTTTTCACAACCAATACACACACTAGTTGATTTCAGTGCACACACACACTCCCCCTGTCCTAAGCACCCTTGCTTGGACCAACAAAGCTCATATAGCTCTCTATATACATCATTACAAATGATAAACAATATAGTCAAGTTCCTTCTACGAGTGAAACAGCTTAAACAGCATAAAACACCAAGTTACTGCCTCAAAAACACTAATCTGCTGCAGCTAGGGTTTGAGGGGTAAAATTGGAATTTCCCTTCGAGATCAGTTCACCAGTAGCTTCTAAAGTCTTATTTCACTCTAGTACTCATGTAAGTATCTTTAAACAATTTAGCATAGCATGAGCATATATCATGGTTCAATCACAGTTCTTGAATAAGCACAACACAACACTGTTCAAGGGGTTTTGCAAGGTCATAATCACAATCTACCAATGTTTTGCATCATAGCCAATTTCAACAGCTTTGATTCATCAAAATAGACTTGCTAGCACATAGATAATCCATATAATAGCAAGCCTTAATCATTTTGCACTTGAATCACAGTATATATCAAAAAAACAAGCTTATCTATTGATCTAAGAATCCAAAATCCATTTCAGCATGTTTCAGTTCAAAACAAACTACTGAGCAAATGTAAATAGCATAGTTATACCTGTGACAACCCTCATAAATGACCACAGCAGCTTGGAACTCAAACTCACTACTCAATCCAGCCCTTGCTCCAGCAATATAGACAGAAGCAGCATCTCAGCACATTGATCACACACAAGGCTTGAGT